AAAAAAAAAAAAAAAAAAAAAAAAAAAAAAACAGGAGCGGGTAATTTAACCAAAGTAAAAGACCCTGTGGGCATTATATCAATTTAAAATCGGTCGTCAATGCAGCTCTTTTCTTCATTTTGGACCGGAAAACTCCTTGACTTGCGCGCATGCAGCAAGACAATGGCCAGCTGATTCCCCAATAGATGTTTATCCAGCCTTCCTGTTTTTGACACAATGGCAACCTCATGATCATGGATTCATGCTAATGGAAGTCCTAAAGAAAGTTTTTGTTTTTAGTCTTTTAATAATCGCGATTTGCATAATATTGAACCCAACTATGATATCGCAGCGAATATCAAAATTAATGACTTCTGGTTGATAAGAAGCAAAACCGTCTATGGTAGTTTTCAGAAAAAAAGGACACTTTTTTTTGAGAAAATAGATTATTTATCTTAGCGTTCAGAAGAAGACCGATGGCTTCGTTAGTATTCCAGTGCAGAGAAAGATAATATTTCCGCAGAAGCGCACTTTGGGAATGTAGAGTTTTTATCTTAGATTTCATTAGGAGACCGAATGCTTCGTCAGTATTCCAAGGTAGAAATCTTGCCGCCGAAAGAAGCGCAATTTGAGACAGTGGATTTTTTATCTGAATGTTCGGCAGAAGATCGAGGGTTTGTTAGTATTTCAGTGATGATGTTGCCTCGTCTTTTTTCGAAAAATTAGCGTAGTACACTAGTAAAATTGGCTAAGTAAAGTAAACAAAACAAAATGAACATCTATCATATTTTTTCCTCTATAATTTCGTTTTTAATTTCGTCTATCACCGAAGAAGAATGCCGATATTACAATACTAATAATACACACGAAAAAATTACTCGATTCTGATTGGCTAAGAGCAGTGCAGTTCAAGTGTAACACCAGTGCAAATTACACATCGAAATTCTGGATTTTGATTGACTGAAAGAAAATAGGAACTTTTCTAAGAAAATGATATCACGTAAAATGATGACGAAAATTTTGTGCTGAAACTTTGAAAAAAATTTTCTCAAATGAGAAAAAATGGCTTCAAGAAAGGTCTTCCGGCACTTCCTCCGCACGAATTTTTTCACGTTTATATTATTAATAAGTAATCATACGGTTTTTCTCGTTCAATTTGGAGGTAATTTGCACTTGCGAGTTTTTCAAAAAGTTGAAATTACACTCGCCGAAGCGGCTCGTGCAATTTCTGCTTTTTGAAAAACTCACTCGTGCAAAGTAATTCCAAATTGAACTCGAAACCGTATGATTACCTATACAAAACGAGCTGAATTGCTTTTAATTGAATGGTCAACGCTTTACATGTTGAACCAACACTTCTCCTATATAGATTTGAGCGACGCGAAAGGAGTTGCCCGTGTGAGGAAAAGCCTCAAGTGAAATTTTATTTTAACCACCTCTAATTGTTGCTATTTTGAGATGAATGAACGTTTCCAATTATTGTTCCCTCATAACTGTTTTGATCATCCGGAACTATTGTTTCCGAATTGTTCGTGATTAAACTGGTACGCTAGGTGTATTTTTAACTTTTTGGGACTTAAAAATCGTTTGTTTCCGCTAAAGTACCCAAAATTAGCTACACTGCAAAACATCATTATCAGATATTTAGTAAACACGTCGGTGATTCATGCTTGCGAACGGAAACTTCCACGCCCAACAGGTCAACAATCTGCAAAGAAAACAAGGAAACCTCATTTTTCCGTGTAAAGAATCAGTTACTTTGTCCGATACTGAAATCGCTGGTTTTGACTGTCAAGTCAAAATAAGTATGATGGTAACCATTCAATGAGTTAGGCCAGGAATCTGATATGGGATAGATGACTGATATATAAAGAACCTCGCCAAGAATTTAGTCTCTTCAATTTTTTATACTTGAGTTATTCGGAGAAACATTGATGTTAATTTAGGCACCATCCACATGTATCCGGATGTTTTTAAATCCGCAACTTTTTCTTTCCGGATTCAAAAATTTCCCCTTCCACACGTAGCGTATTCAAATCGAATTCGCCTGTCCACA